GTAGGAGGGGACATTCTGGAGGGATGGAAATGGTCTATGTCGGGGTAGTGGTTACAGGAGTGTATAATTTGTCAGGCCCCGATCTGCACACTTAAAAGGGGGCATTTTATTGTATGTAAATTATACATCAAATTCGTAAAAATTGTTGGAAAAAAAAAGCTCTTTTGTAGAAGTGGCGTACTTCCCGCACAGTGAGCCCTAACCAGCAATTATGGGGGAAACGCGAGGGTCGTTGTTTAACCAGCGTATCGGTGAGGAGGGAACGGGAAGGCCCTTTCACTCGACGCGGGGCTTCACTTCCGCCAACGCCATCTCAGGGCTCTCGGGGCTCCCCAGGCCCCGGAGAAATGGGGAGGGGAGAAGCGCACACTAGAGACGCTACGCTACCGACCCAGGGTCGCGGCAGCGACGGGGTTGGACCGCAGTGAGCACCCGCGGGGCGGCCCCGGCCCCGCACCCACTGGGTCTGCGTGAGCCGGGTGCGGGGATGCGCCCCCGGCCGCTCGCCTCTCTCGGACTGGGTGCTGGCGCCATCCGGGAGGGGACAAAGGCGCCCGGCCTTACGGGCTGGGGACGCGGGCGGGGAGGCCCTGGGGACGCGGTGGCTTCGGCGCGGAGGCCCTGGGGGTCCGGGGGAGGACCGGGCGGGGGGGTTACCTGCGTGGTGGTGGTGGCGCCCGAAGGGTGGCGGGTGGGAACGACGGGCTCCACCCAGCGGCTGGCCCGCGCTCACCTGTGGGGCTGGGGAGGGGGCCGCCGCTAGGGGGGTCTCGAGTAGCCCCTGGGTTCTTCCCGCCGCCGGCGCAGGCCTCGGGGTGCGCGGCGCCCTCCTCGCCCACCTTTCCCTCTCCTGTCGCCGCCGGCCCGGGTGACTCACGCTGGTGAGCTTGAGGTTTACACCAGGATTTGTGCAATGCAACAAACCAGCGCCTAAAAAGTGACTCCTACGGCACAGAGAGCTTCCGTCACCCTCTGCCCGGGACGCGCTTGGCCCCAGGCCTTAGTCTGCCTGGGGACTGCCCCTCCCCTCTGCGGCTCACTCAGCAAAGGCCCTGCAGGGCCCCAGGTGAACAGCACGTTCCCGCAGAGACCTGGGCCCTTGGCACGCGGAGACCCTTTCTTGGGTCCTCCCGCCCTGTTCTAACCACTGTAAAGTACCACACTGTCACAGAAGTTTGTCGGTCCCCTACTACACTCCAGGAACTGCAGAGTGCTGAGGAGAGGATCAAACAAACAAGCGGGGTACCTGCCTTTGAGGGGCTCACAGTCTGAGGGGTCTACATGTCTACTGGAATCAGTAAGGTTCCCAGAACAATCTCTGTGTATTAAGAAAATGCAGGAAGGGGACGGCCGAGTGGCGCAATGGTTAAGAACTGGCCTGGGACCCCAGAGGGCCCCAGTTCGGATCCCACATATGAGGGCCAGTGACACTGCCCTCTACAGCTAAGATGCTGAACAACAGCTCAGCCTGGAGCTGGGCTGCCTTGAGTCACCGGAGATGGTGTAGGCTGCAGCCCCTGTGGCAGTGGGTTACCATGGGCTACAGTGTGGAGCCAGCAGCCGCAGTGAGCGGCCGTCCAGAAGCCAGTGACTGATCTGCCTCACCCGGGAAGAGCGCAATGATGGCGCCAACTTGGGCAGTGAAGCAACAGCCTCCACAACTAGACTGAAGAACAAAACGACAGCAACTTGTCTGTTCCCCTTCCCTCAATTCCCCAATAAAAAAATCTTTAAAAAAAAAAGAATGATTGTAAAACTGTCTGTCCCTTGGGGAACATAGCTTTCACCATGATTTTGGGTGGTTGTGGAGATAAAGAAAAAGTGAGGCCGAATGGGCTGGGCCCCCACCTCTGCTATTGGAAGGGCCAGCGCTATATATTCCTTTTGGAGAAGATACTTGAAAAGTAACAAGTCAAAAGTATTCACCCGTTAGATGGTGGAGTTAGAACCTCCCTCCTAGGCTTCTGACTGGAATTCTGGGCTCATTCCAATCACACTTGAACCAAATATCCTTTTTCTGGAAAGTGTTGACCACTGACTCAATAAATCCTAAAATGACATTGCTCCTAAGATGTCTCTTGACTTTCAAAGCTGAATCAATACCCAGACTCTAAAAACAGGTTAGAATTCATTGATGCCACTGAACTGTACACCTAAAAATGGTTAAAATGGCAAATTTTATGTTTTATATGATTTACTATAATTTTAAAAATTAATAGTGTAATATACCAAAAACCATCTAATTGTACACTTTAAACTGGTGAGTTGTATGGTAAGTGAGTTATATCTCAATAAAGCTGTTTGGAAAAACAAAGCAAAACAGGTTGGGCTTGTTAAGCCGAATTCCTGGACCTGAATTGTAAATATACCTCAGGCTGGAAAACTGGAGAGCAGGGCTATCGGAATTGGAATCTATCCCCCACGTACTCACTGGAACTAGGTTACTCTTCTCAAAATGGTGGGAGGAGGAGGAGGAATAATGGGTGTCCTTCGCCAACAGATTGCTTGAGACTGTGTTTGGAAAATATGTTCATGGACTCCCTGCTTTGAAGGGGTAGTTGTTAACTTGGCCAGATTTTTGTTCATTTGTTTATATGTTATTATGGAAAAGGTTAAATACAGAGGGGGCCAAAAAATGTATAGACATTTTAAAAAAGGAAAAACTGTATTAATTGTAATAGTCAAATATATACCAATAACAAAAGATGAATACCAGTCACGTTTGACTTCTGCAATTACAAGAGTACTCAAAGTGGTTACCATCAGCGTCCAGACACTTCTGATTATGGTGAACTACCGCTTGAGCATAGATAACATCTCTTAAAATGTATATACATATTTTTGGCACCCCTGGTATATAGAAAAGCAGACATAGTAGTATAACCACCCAGCCTCAACAATTATCAACCCATGGCCAGGCTTGTTTCATCTATATCCCCACCCATACACCATCCCCCCCGCATCTTGTATTAATTTGAAGCAAATGCCAGCCATCCTATCATTTCATTGGTAGATATCCCAGTATGGCTCTCTGAAAGAACGCCTTTAGGGACGGCCAGTTAGCTCAGTTGGTTAGAGCGCAGTGCTCATAACCAAGGTTGCTGGTTTGATCCCCACATGGGCCACTGAGATGCGTTCTCCACAACTAGATTGAAACAACTACTTGACTTGGAGCTGATGGGTCCTGGAAAACACACTGTTCCCCAATTAAAAAACAAAACAAAACACAACAAAAAATTAATGCATTTACACACACACACACACACCATTACAATTTAAAAATTAATAATTCCCATGTCTATCAACACATGAATGGATAAACAATGTGGTGCATACATACAATGGAATGTTATCAGCCTTTTTAAGGTAGCCTTTCTTAAGGCAGAATTTTAAAGAAATTCTGACACATGCTACAATATAAATGAACCTCAAGAACATTTGCTAAGTGAAATAAACCAGTCACAGAAAGACAACCATGATACAATTCCACTTACCTGAGGTGCCTGAAGTAATCAAATTTACACAGAAAGTAGCTTGGTTACCAAGGCCTGGGGAGAGAAGAGAATGGGAAGTTGTTTAATGGACACAGAATTTCAGTTTTGCAATACAAAAAAAGTTTTGGAGATTAGTTGCATAACAATGTGAATGTGCTTAACACTACTGAACTTGAACTGTACACTTAAAAACGGTTAAGATGGCCTATCAGCTTTTAGCTCGGAGGAGGCCAAGGGGCAAATTTCTTCAGTTGTCAGGAATCCAGGTTCATCCGACACCAGCTGCCTCCACCATGCCGCTCAAGTTCATTGGTTCGACCCCAATGAGATCAAAGCCATAAACCTGAGGTGCACCATTGGGAAGTCAGTGCCACGTCTGCCCTGGCCCCCAAATTCAGCCCTCTGGGTCTCTCTTCAAAAAAGGTTGGTGATGACATTGCCAAAGCAACCCGTGACTGGAAGGGTCTGAGGACTACAGTGAAACTGACCATGCAGAACAGACAGGCCCAGACTGAGGTGGTACCTTCTGCTTCTGCCCTGATCATCAAAGCCCTCAAAGAACCGCCAAGAGACAGAAGGAAACAAAAAAACATTAGGCACAGGGGAAATATCACTTTTGATGAGGTTGTCATCGTTGCCCGACAGATGCGGCACTGATCTTTAGCTGGAGAACTCTCTGGAACCATTAAAGAGATATCCGGGGACTGCCCAGTCTGTGGGCTGCAATGTTGATGGCCGCCACCCTCATGACATCATAGAGGGTGCAGTGGTGTAGTGGAATGCCCAGCTAGTTAAGGACTACAACGGAAAATTTCAATTAAAGATCATTTAACAACCAAAAATAAAATAGTTAAGATGGTAAATTTTATGTGTATTCTCCCACAATGAAAATTTTGAAAATTTAACTATTCCATAATTTCATGATCTATCCGATGCCCAAACTTCCAGTTCTTATAAAGTCATACTTTTTTTCCCCAACGTGTTTGTTTGAATTAGGATTCGAATAAAATCCACAAAGTGCCACGCATTATGTCTCTTAAATCGTTTTGAATCTATAGGTTCCCCTTCTCCCTTCCCTTCCAATTTATTTGAATAAACAATATTGTTTGTCCTATGGTTTCTCACAAGCTAGATTCTGCTGCCTGCATCCCGTGATCTGTATTCCTTGTAAATTGGTAGCTGGACCTAGAGGTTCTGGGCTAGTTTTGATTCCGACGCAGGAGGAGGCTAAAGATATCCATTTCCACCGAGCCAGCCCAGCGGGACCTGAAAAAGCGAGGCTAAGTCACCAGCCAAGCCGCTTACAGTGACAAAGACGCCGTTTACACGCCTCGGTCAGTCACTACAAAGCCAGTGATGGAGGGAAAGAGGCGGAGCGAGACTACGTGGGAAAAGCCCTTCCTCCGCTTTCCACGCGCGTAACAGTTACCGAAATAAACAGCCGGAGCGGGCTGGCCCCTGGACGGAAGTGACGCAGCGCGGCCGGCGTCGGCGTTGCTTTAGAGGCGGGGAGACGAATAGATTGGTTGCTCCGGGGTCGCAGTTCCGGTCATCTCCTTGGGAGACGCGCGTTGTGAAGGCGTCGCCCGCTAGGGTCTCCGGTGACCGGGACCGCGGCAGCGGCCCGGAGGGCGGGATGTTCCGGGGCTTGAGCAGTTGGTTTGGCTTGCAGCAGCCGGAGGCGGGTGGCTGCCAGCCCGAGGGAGACGGGCAGCCTAAGGAAAACGGGCAGCCTAAGGGAGACACTCCACCCGAGCAGCGCTCCGAGGCGGTAGCGGAATCGGCGAAGGGGGAGTCGCAGCAATCCGAGGACCAGGATCCCCTTCACCAGGCCAAAGGCCTCGGCAGTGAGTCTCCCCCCGGGACCACAGACTGTCGGGGAGTGTCCACAACCTTCCTTTTGACACCCCTGGGGCGCGGGCCCGACTGATCCGGGGAGGGGGGGGGGGGGAGTGGAGGAAGGTGTGTCTTGTCTGTAGGTCCTCGCAGGACGGGAGAGGTTGGTGAAGAACTGAGCAAGGCCAAAGCTTCGTCGAGTAGTCAGATCCTGTGCCTGAAGTTCCTGGTGACTTGTCACTCTTTGCAAAGTGTAAACATTGGGAGCAAGGCCGCAGTAAAGCGGTGTGGCCCTACGTCTTTAGGTTTGACAAGGAATCTTTTTGTTCATCTCGCCAACTTGCACCTCCACAAACCCCCACCCCCGGGAGGGGAGCCGTTGGGGAGCTTGAGTTGGTTGAAAAAGTGCGGTTTTGCCCTTGCGGCAGAACGTGTTGTCCGAAGTAAATTGAGGAAGGGTTATCAAAGGCCTCGCTCGGCTCATCTCCTGTTTAGGTGCAGTGGGACCATTTTCCTGCCAGTTTTTGTCTGTGATGTGCAAGTTTCAGTACTAGATGTTCTATGAACGATATCTCATTTCATCTGTTAAACACCCAGTGAGTTGGGAGAACAAGCCCGAGGTTCCTTGCCCTGAGTTATACTGATAGTAAGTGGTAGCAGTGGAATTTGAACCTAGGTTTGTCTAATTTCAAAGCCTGTTCTCTTTCCAGAGTTGACTGTGTAGTTAGGGAAGAGAGTAAAAGCAGTAGGCTTGAAGGATAAACAGATGCTCTGCTAATTCTGATTCTGGAGAGGCCGTGTCCAGCTCAGTCAAGGAAAACGCCTTGGAGAAAGTCGTCCCTAAAGCTGACAGTACTACAAGTGCGAGAACTGTAGCAAAGGTAGATATTCAATTTAGCAAGCATTTTTAAAGAAGCTACTAACAGCAAGAGCCCCCGGGGAGGCTGGAGCCTGAGTAGAGAAACATATGTTTGAATAAGAAAGGCTCTAACGTTCAAAAAGTGTTACTTCAGGGTGGAGGGGCACGGAAAACAGACCTAACCGAATCATGGCTGTACGTAATCTCAGTCCAAGGCCCCCAAACAGTGCACAAGAGAAATAAAACTAAGTGCTGTGTAATAAATTACTAAAGAGGGAATGGCTGGTTGCTGTGTAGAAAATTGGGAAGAAATGAGCTTGGCCTATTGGAGAGATAGATGTGAGGAGATGAATTTGACCGGAGCTGAAAGGCTATATTAAGTAGTTGGGTTAGATAAAAGTGGGGCCACATTAGGCAAAGCAGGGTATGAGGGTTTACCCGATTTCATAGAACTTAGAGAAGCATTTTCATTTTTCTTCAGGAGAGTGTCAAAATTGGCTTCTTAAAACTTGGTGATGGCTTTATTGAACTTCATGTTTGTATTTAGTAATAAAGACCTCTGAATAGTTTTTAATGTGTATTCGATATGGATGTCTACTTTGGAGTCTAATGCTGCGATCTCTCCAGACTCTTTTTGATGTTTGGGGAAGCCAAGGTTAGATGGAAGTATCCCCCTTCCCTGCCCACACACACATTGTGAATTTAAAGTTTCCAAATAAATGAGGGCTCTTTTGGTTCTGATATTTATGTGATTTTAAAAAGATGTAAAGGTTCTAGTTTATACACAAGCCTTCAGAAAGACGTGAGATGATCAGATACTTTTTTCATTTCTACATATTCATCCTAAGAGGTATGTTATCTTTAAAAGGACCCATCTGTTTTGAAAGCTGAAACTAAACATCTCTGAGCCTGAGTTCCACTAAGTAGATTAGTTTCTTTAGCCTTTAAAAATCTACATGGAATCTTGTAGGAGCCCCATTTGTTCTGTAAACATTTGTTTAATGTCTCCCTTCAAGATTCGACCCTAAATGCTTCTGGTTCCTAGTAATGTATTTATAAATTTAGGCAACTCACCACTTACGAGTGGTGGACACCCAGGCCTACTTTCCACTCCCTTATCCAAAAGCAAACCTTCCCACTCTTGGCCCTCCCTCCTGATAAACTTAGGCCCTCCTATGATCGCCTGCTTCAGAGAAGGGCAGTTTATGAGGGAACTCACTGAAAAGCTCCCTACCTCCCTGAAGGCCTCATGCCCCAAAGTAACCTTATTCACAGATTGGTTGGTTGGTTTTTGTTCAAGTCAACCAAATTAGAGCTTTATCTGTACTCTTTCTTAAAAAAAAAAAAATACCCGTACCTGTGAGAGTGTTAAATATCTGAGTCGCTCGCACAGTTTAAATAAGTGGGAGGGTGGCCAAAGATGGGCTTTGGCTTTTTCAAAACCATCCCTAAGGTCACTCCATGCCCAGGAATAGAGGAAGAGCCACCTCCTGTTCCTTCTCCTTTGAAAGTGCTATTAGTATTTGCAGTGGAACTGTTGATTAGGCCACCCTCCTCTTTTTCTGTAGGGAAAATGTATTTCAAGTTCTAGGTGCATAACTGGTTTAGTTTACAACTAAGAGAGCTCCAAAAGTGTGTACATAGGAAACTACATGTCTGCTTTGATATAGAAGTAAAATCCCAGTTTAGGTCTGATGACAAACCCAGGTTTACCACGAAGAGTGCAGACATATAGTCAAGAGTTTGGATCCCACGGCTTATGAACAATACTGAAAGGAACTGGAGATTGTAGCTTGAAGAAGAAGAAACTGAGGGGCGTTGCTCAAAATTCTGGCAGGCTTTTGTTTCTGTTTGTTTTTTTCCGGAAAACAGGTCTTTTTATATTACTTAAGAGGACAGATCTTATTTAGTCTGAGGTAGAAATGACAAGGGAAGTGAAAAGGGTTTTCTGAGTTAGATGTGGATAACAGTAATAGAAGTCACGTGCTCCCCATCCCTGGAATTGGGGCCACCTGGATAGGAGGTTGAGTTAGGTAACTCCTGACGTCCCTTCCAACATGAAGATTCTAAACTTGTATGAAATGTGGTATTTTCGAAAAATTAACCAGCCTTTTCAGAAGAATATTAATATACTTTTATATGCCTTGGAAATCACTATCTGATTATTTTCTCATTCTAACAGCAAGCCTTAAACTCTACCTTCCTCTCTTTACTCTGATAAATGTATGCATTTTCTGACCTTCAAGAACCTTCCCACTTTCCTTTACCTTTATCATTTCATTCAATTCTGCAAGCCCTTGTCACTTGCTCATCTGACATGAGGCAGCAGGAGATTGGGGCACCAGCTTGCCACTTAGAGGCAGATAGCCTGTGTGTGAGTTTCATACACTTACTTATTGTGATGTCATTTGCAACTTACAGAAAATTCAGCTGCAAATTACAGAAAGTCCAACAAACAGAGGCTTAATGAGAAGACCTTGATTGTGTCTGGGGTCCCCAAGACCACCCCCTGGTTTGATGAGCACCCATCAGAATTGGGGTTTCTTTAGCAAGGAGGGAGGGGATAGGCTCTTGGCTGGGCAGTCACTGAGGTGGGTCTGCCCCATGTTAATGCACGAATCACGTATCCTCTGTGAGTCTCGGCTTCCTATCTGTAAACGGGGCAGATTACACCTACTCTTCCCAGGGTGGTTGTGAAACTAAAATGACATAATAAAAATGAAGATAAAATGACTGCTTTCGAGGCTCACAGTCTGCCTCCTCCTTCCATAAGGTTGTGGAGGCATGCGCACGCGCTCGCAGGTGTTTTACTTCCTTTCCTTCCATTTGAGCCTCTCACGCCGACGTTCCAGAAGTCGACATTGAACTCCTTTTACTTCCTGTTAACTCTGATCTTAGTCTCAATTTTTTTCTAACCACTTAATAAAAACTGTCTTTAACTTGGTATCAGATAATCTCTTTGCAAAATTAATAAGCCACTTCTCGTCTTTATGAGCTTCTTACCTGGAAATCTCTCGTCATGCCCTCCTGCCTCCCTCTTCCTCTGACTTTGGAATCCAGGCCACTCTCTGATTACTCCTGGGAGACCTTCTCTGAGTGTCTCTGTTTTATGAATAGTCGTGTTCCTCTGGTTGCCTTTAAGTTGTTTGTTTGTTTGTTTGTTTGTTTAGAAATGGACATTCCTTGAGGGCCAGAACTATGCTTTCTCCCATGTTTAGTGTGTTCAGTGTACTTCACCCATGGAGTCATTAAAATCTGAGAGTTGAGATTATTATGCTAAAAATACCAGTTTTTAATTTTTTTTTCCCTTTTTTATTTATTTTTTTTATTGGGGAATTGGGGGGATGGGAACAGTGCTGGGGAATTGGGGGAAGGGGAACAGACAAGTTGCTGTCGTTTTGTTCTTCAGTCTAGTTGTGGAGGACGTTGCTTCACTGGCCCAAGTTGGCACCATCATTGCGCTCTTCCTGGGCGAGGCAGATCAGTCGCCGGCTTCTGGACGGCCGCTCACTGCGGCTGCTGGCCGCTCACGCTGGCTGCTGGCTACACACGGTAGCCCATGGCAACCCACTGCCACAGGGGCTGCAGCCTACGCCGTCGCCGGCGACTCATGGCAGCCCAGCTCCAGGTTGAGCTGTTGTTCAGCATCTTAGCTGTGGAGGGCAGTGTCACTGGCCCTCATCTATGGGATCCGAACCGGGGCCCTCTGGTGTCCCAGGCCAGTTCTTAACCATCGTGCCACTCGGCCGGCCCCCAGTTTTTAAATTTTTAAATGACAGTCCTCCCTTAGGAAAAAATGTCAATTCTAATTCAAAACATATCCCTGAGAAATCTTAAAGATAACCCTGTTCTTTTAGAACTTTAGATTTCTTTGTCTATCTGCAAAGAATATGTTTTACAAAGTATGGCTGTGTACCCATTTGATCATACCACTCTGGGCAAATAAGACTAGTCATAGCCAGAAAGAAATGAAGGATCTCCCTAAAGCTCAGCACGTATGATGTCACTCCCCATGCATCCATTCAATAAATACTGTTCACTCACTGGGTGAATCAGACAGCCTTGGTCCCTGCCCCAGTCAGGCTTAGGACGGGCCTTCGGTTTGAGAAGACAGATTCACCAGGTAATCGGTACAGTGTCATGAGTATTGTTGATTGGGCAACATGGGTGCTGAGGGAACATATCTCAGGAGCACCTACTCCAGTCAAGGAACCAGGGAACATTTCCTGAGAAGAGATGCGTATGCAGAGCCCCATAGAATGTGGAGACGGAGCCAGGTAAAGGGAGGGCAGATAAAAGTGTTTCAAACAAGGAATAACATAGTTGAGGCCTCCTTGAGATACTCAAGAGTTTCTTGTGGTCATATGGATGTAGAATAGGAGGGGGAGAATGAAACCAGAGACAAGTAGCGTCCTATGGTATAGTCACAATGGGGTGTTGATGTCACTGACAGATGGAGCCACCAGACACAATGGGAGAAAGACTGTTTAATGGTAAAGGATGTGGGAAGTGGGAGAGATGGTCATTCAGATTGGGAGATTGTACTGCTGCTCCAGGTACAAGCTGCCTGATTTGATTCCCTAAAAGTGGTATCACAGAGGGAGGATTTAATCAGGTATGCCAAGCCCCCTTTGCCATTCTTATCAGGGTTTTCTCCCTGCCTGAGCATTTTGAGAGTTAACTCCCCACACCCCCCACCCCCTCAGCAGGTACAGGTAGCAGAGGCAAGACCGCCCTTAGAATCTATCCCGTGAGCTGAGATTCAAAGGCCAGTTGCCCTGGAGCATCCCCCAGCAAGTCCAGCTCCGGGACCTACCCGAGGTCACTTCCTGCAGCCCAGATTGTGCAGAGTGTGGACTTTGACATGATATGTGTCTGCATACAGGCCTTTATAGTCTAGTGCAATAGAGCCTTGACACATACGTCTTTTCAGGTCTTCAGGAAGGTTAGTTTTGTTTTCGTTTTGTGAAGGTCTTGAAGGTGAATGTTTGTGTGTTAACGGTTTTCATTTTGTTCTACATATTTGCTCATTATTATTAAAGGAGGATTTAGATTTAGATTAGGGCTTGCCAAGATTTCTATTTATTTAAAATCCCCCAGATTTATCATAGGATAGGTTAATCTAGGAAAGGAGGAGCATTTTTTTCTTTGAACAGGAGGAAGAAGGAGAAAATAAAGATGGGATACTGAGGGTATAGAAAGGAGAAAAGTATAAAGGAGCCTTGATCTTATTTGTAAAGTTGGAGGGGAGATTATTTACTGAGATAAGTTAGAGCTAGAGACTGGAGAAGGGCATGACAAGTCTGAAACAGCTGCAGGGGAAGAACCGGGGAGTTTGCTAAGGGTCTTTGAAAGAGATGAATCAGTGGCCCAATGTGGATGGCCAATCCAACAAGAAAGTGGAGTACTGTCAGTGCTTCTCATTTTTTGTTCAAGTCCTGGTTAGCAAGGAACATGCTCTGTGATTTAAGATTCTTATAAGAGCTCTTTCAGGGAGAAATTACAAATACAATAACCATTGTACTTGAATGGAGCGTAAACTCTTTTTTATTCTTTACAGACTATCTATTCAATTTTGCGACTGCTGCTACAAAAAAAATAACTGAATCAGTTGCTGAAACAGCACAAACGATAAAGAAATCAGTAGAAGAAGGAAAGATAGATGACATCATTGATAAGGTACATCAAAATTTCTTTTGGTAGTAGAAATGTATGAAATTCATTAGCAGCTAATATTGTCCCTTCTTAGGAACTTTATTAACCCAAAGTAGGATATCGTATTCTGATAAAAATATTAATAGTTGAGATTCTTGGGATTTTTTCTCTATTTTTGTGTAACAAGTGGTTATGATATAAGCCATCTGATTTAAATAACCTTCATTTTTCTTTTTAATATAGTCTAAAATATATTGATACTTTGGGTAATACTAAACTTTTCATACTGTGAGTTTAATTTTCAACGATAACCACTTCAGAATATATTTGTACTTTTGCATCACCTGGTTAAGTTTTTAAAGTCCTACCTCATTAGGAACAACCCCTTTAAGACACTAAGGCATAAGTATGTTAATTTTTTATAGTGGTAAAAAAAATGGGCCTAGGGAATTTCATTTCTGTTGGTAATTATTTGAACAAAAGAGGTCATCAATTATACTTCAGATAGCTTGTTATTTAGATATTTTTGTTGTGTATACTATTTGTTAGAATGAGAGTTGAGCTGTCTTATTTTTTTAATAATACAAAATTTCAATCTTTAACTTAACGTTTGCATTTTAAAAGTTAATTCATCATAAAGGGGGTTGTATTGTATACTTAAAATTGAAAAATGTTGACAATTCCCTCTTGTGGAAAGGAGGAACTACCACTTTTTTAGCCTTTTTATTTGAAGAAAATGAATAAAATGTCTCAAATAGACTTCACAGATCTTGAATGTAATTCTTATCTAATAATAGACCTTGCAAGGCAGCGGTTCTCAACCTGTGGGTCGCGACCCCTTTGGGTGTCAAACGACCCTTTCACAGGGGTCGCCTAAGACCATCAGAAAACAAAAAGATATTTACATTACGATTCATAACAGTAGCAAAATTACAGTTATAGAGTAGCAACGAAAATAATTTTATAGTTGGGGGTCACCACAACATGAGGAACTGTATTAAGGGGTCGCGGCATTAAGCAGGTTGAGAACCGCTGTTGCAAGGTAATTTGACTCCTTATGTATTTTTTTGACAGACAATTATAGGAGATTTTCAGAAGGAACAGAAAAAATTTGTTGAGGAACAGCATACAAAAAAATCAGGTATGGTATAGGTTTGTTGTACACGACTTACTTACCTGCCAAATTTTATTGAGCACCTTTTACATGTAGACACTATGATAAGGCTCTGAGAATACAAAAATGTGTAAGAAACGGCCCCCATTCTTTGGGTAAGGCAAATACTCGTGGGGGAGACAAACCCGTAAAGCTTCGGTGTTTAAATGAAGGAAGGAATCGTTCCCTCTGGCTAGGATAGTGGGTGAGGTCAGCCAGTGATGGCCCCTCTGAGGGGTTGGCTCTGAAAAAGAGAGAGTAAGCTTTCATTTCTCACTTTATATCATGTCCAGCACAGTGTCTGATGTACCTATAATGGGCACTTAGCGAGTGTTGGCTCCCTTCCCATTCTCTTCAGGAGATAAAAAGGAAAGAGCTTTCCAAGGGAGTGACAGAGGGTCATGCAGTCATGAGGGTTTGAGGAACTTAATACATTTCTTCACTGATAAATGCTTTATTCAGTGTTTGCAGTTCTAAGATCTCAAAATCCCCACTTTTACTGCTTGATGGTGCTCAAACACAAAACTCGCATCGTCTTTGAATGTAGCAAAGTAGGGTAAAATAATTCACTCGGTTTGAGCAGTGCTGCAAATTTAAAAAAGAACTGGTTAGTCCTGTGGTGAGTTCCTGTCAGGCATTGTTGTTCCTACGTAAACTCAAAAATATGAAGCAGCTCTCTGGGACAAATAAACCATACAGGTTAGCATAACCTAGGGTATTATGGAAAGCAGTGAAATTGACCCCAGCTCAGGGACTTGGTGTAGGAGCTGGTTGGTGCCTCTGAGATAGGGATTGTGAGGGCATGGGGGTAAAAGGCTTGGAGGAGATTTCAGGGGTTTTTTGTTTGTTTGTTTTTAATTAAAGTTTATTAGGGTGACAATTGTTAACAAAGTTACATAGGTTTTAGGTGTACAATTCTGTAATACATCATCTATATATCACATTGTGTGTTCACCATCCGGAGTCAGTTCTCTTTCCATCACCATATATTTGATCGTGATTTCAGTTTTGAGGTGCCCATTAGACAGCCAGGTAAGAGAAACATGTACTAAGGCAGGGAAGGGGACGCAGGTGGCATGTTGGGAAAATTCTGTTCTTCAGTCATATTTCAAGTGCCTGGTAGCCACATGGGGCCAGTGACTTCCATATTGTTCCATGCAGAGGTAGAACATTCCCATCATTGCAGATAGTTCTGTTGGTCGGCACTGCTCTAAATTCAGTGAACAGGCTCCGGCAGCAGTTTATTTCTGTTTGAAGCACGAAGGAGCATTCCATCTACAGATGCAGATTATTAGTCAAGTCATGTAAAAACCATGAGAGTAGGTGAGTTCTGAGATGAAGGGTGTACCATGCATGAGGAGAGATGAGTGGAGATCTGTGGTATTTAGGGGAGGTGAGGAGCAGAAGGAATTGACAGTTTCTGAGTGCCTGCTAAGTGGCGGGCACTTTATATATAACATCTTATTTAATCAAAGGAAAGCTCAGGGCTGGCCGAGTGGCTCAGTTGGTTAAGAGCTCGCTCAAGAGTGCGAGCTCTGAGCAACAGCAGTTCAATGCCCGGCCCGAGCTGAGCTGCCACTGAGCTGCCAACAGGTGGCAGGATGGCTCAGCTAAAAAAAAAAAAGAAAGAAAAAAAAGGAAAGCTCAGCAAGGTTAGGTAATTTGCTGAAGGTCACTCAGCTGGGAAGTGATTAAACAAATGTTCCCATCAAAACCCGTGCCCATTTACCCAAGGAAGAGAGAAGCAGTGGAAGCCCAGGGAGGGAGAATTTCAAGGAGAGCATGGTCAGCTGAGAGGAAAGGCATTGTAACATGCTCCGCATTCATTTGTTCGCCTAATGGTCACAGCAACTCTGTGAAGTACTTATTGTTATTGCCATTTTCCAGACAAGGAAACTCTGGCTGAGAGAGAAAAGAACTAGAAAGTGTCTATGAGGGTTGGACAACCAGGAGGTTATTGGTCTCTCTAAATAGAGCACTTTCAGAGGAAGGGGGATGTGGAGGGTGCCTTATCTTTACCAGTAGCTCGGGACTTGGGACGACCTCATTATCTGCGGTAAGTAGTGCTAGGAGGAGCTGCCCAAAGCAAATAGACTTGAAATGGAGACCAGGGGTGGCCGGTTAGCTCAGGTGGTTAGAGCACAGGCTCATAACACCAAGGTTGCCGGTTCGATCCCCACATGGGCCACTGAGCTATGTCCTCCACAACTAAATTGAAACAACTATCTGACTTAGAGCTGGAAAAACACACTGTTGCCCAATAAAATTTCTTCCAAAAAAAAAAATGGAGACCAAAATGTTATAGTAAATGGTATAAGAAAAAAAGTTTTAGAGGGTCTTTACCCTAATATTTTAAAGTATGAAAATATGTTTATTTTATCTTATAATTAACAGAATTTGGATTATAATTGCCATCATTTGCTTGTTCAGGATGAGCCAAAGAATGAACTGGGTGTCTGTCCATCTGCCCATGTTTCCATCCATGCATGCACATAAGTTTTCTATAAATTGGCACACCATAGGATGTCTTTTCCACCTGACTTCTGCAGCATCATAGTAAAAGGGATTATTTCTGCAAAAATATGAGGACCCTCTGTGTGTATGTCTTCTGTGCTGACCACCCACCTCCATAGCCTTAGCTCTGCCCTCTTGCCCTGCTCCAGGCTTGGTAGAGCTGCGCCCTCTGAACCACACCCCCTCCACCCCACCCACCACCCCAGATACACACACCACTGAACTCCTTCTCCTAGTCCAAGGTAAGCTCCCGAGCCACAGCAGAAACCCTGTGGGTGGGACTCACCTCTCCAGGTGGTTGCCATTTGTCACCTGGCATGATAATCATGCTGAGTTGTAATCACCTCGTTTCCTTGTGAGCCCCACAGATACAGGCTGGGTGTTAGGTGTCTTGGTATTCCCAGCACTTCACTTCTAATGGCTGAGAGGATTTGATCCCAGCCCTGTTGTTTATTGCCCCAGATTTGCCCATTTCTTTCTGCTTTTGCTTTCATTCCTGACAACCCTTTTCTCAATTCCTAGCCGCTTATCTTGCCGCCTCCTTATCACCTTTTGTCATGAGTCAAGTACAGTAACTTTTATAAAAATTTTTATTAGGAAATAATTTCAATATACAGAAAAGTTGCAAGCATAAAAGTAGTACAGAGAACACCCATATATCCCCTCCTAGATTGTTAGTTTTCCAGCTTTTGGAAATTTAACATTGATATAATAATTCTAATTTCATGAATTCACTCAGTAAGGTCCTTTATACATTTTCACCCTCAACACAGCATCCAGTCTAGGGTACAGTATTGCATTTTTTTGTCACGTGTCTTAGCCTCCTTGAATGTGGAACATTCTCACGGCCTTTCTTTGACTTTTATAACATTAACTTTTTTCTAGAATAATCCTCCCCCTTTTTTTGTTAAATGGACCTCATTTGGGTTTTGCCTGATATTTTCTCAAGATTAGATTCAGATTATGCATTCTTGGACAGAATACTACATAAATGATATGTCCTTCTCAAGATGTCACATTTGGCCGTCTCCCTCATTGGTGATGTTGATTTTGATCACCCAGGTGTTACCCAATATTTCCACTGCATATTTCAAGTAACTTTTTTACCAAATGCATATATGCATAAGATTCATACATTAAGTCTGGGAATCGTGATGAATGGGCATATTTAGAACTCATTAGTAAATTGCTAAAATGGTTGTGTGGAACTTTTTTTTTTTTTAGCTGAGCCATTCTGCCTCCTGTTGGCAGCTCAGCTCGGGCTGTGAATCGAACCGGCGACCCTGTTGCTCAGAGTTCACATTCTCGAGCAAGCTCTTAATCAACTGAGCCACTCGACTGGCCCTCAAACTTTCTTGTTTTTTAAAACCACGATTGCAGTATAACCCTTATAACCTGTTTTTTCTTCTTCGCTTTTAAAAACCTTTTAGAAGCAGCAGTACCCCCATGGGTTGATAGTAATGATGAAGAAACAATTCAACAACAAATTTTGGCCTTATCAGCGGTAAGTATCATGTGCTATCCTGTATGGAAGTACTTTCTTCCTATCATGACTTTATCCTTAGCAGAATGTTTTTCTTCTAGACAATTTTTTCAGTATTTGGAGATGTTAGCAATGTACACATCAACTTTTACAATTTTTTTCACTAACTTTTTGTTTAAAGATTTTATTGGGGAGTTGGGGGGAGGGGAACAGCATTGGGGAATTGGGGAAGGGGAACAGACAGGTAGACAAATTGCTGTTTTTGTTCTTCAGTCTAGTTGTGGAGGACGTTGCTTCACTGGCCCACGTTGGTATGATCGTTGTGCTCTTCCCAGGTGAGGCAGTCAGTCGCCGGTCATTGGTCGGCCGCTGACAGCGGCTCTCAGCAGCTCACACTGGCTGCCGGCCGCTCACGCTGGCTGTCAGCCACTCACATAGCTCACAGCAGCCCGCTGCAGCCTACACTGTCGCTGGCAACTCACAGCAGCCCAGCTCCAGGTCAAGCTGTTGTTCATCATCTTAGCTGTAGAGGGTGCAGCGTCACCAGCCCTCATGTAGGATCCAAACCTGGGCCCTGCTGCTCAGAGCTGGCATCTCAAGCCAACTCTTAACCAACATGCCACTTGGCTGGCCCTTTCACTAACTTTTAATTTGCTTCTCCGTAAGTTCTTTTTTCTTAATGGAAAAATATAGCCTACTGTACAAAATAATTTTTTTCGGCCTTTAAAGAATTCTGTTATGTAATTAAGATAGATAATCTTTTTAAATATGCTATCGTATAGTTTCTAGACAGCATTCTAATTTTTCTGAATGAAATGATTGTATTCTAAATTTTCTTTTTAACTGCTATATGTAATTGTTTGAAACTGAAATTGAAAGAAATAAAATTCCATATGCTGGCCCACAAAAATTTCTCTTGGGACCTCAGAGGTAACGTAGCAATACCAGTTAACAATTGTGTAGACCTGACAGTTTCAGAAAGCACTTTCTCACACTTTATCTCTTTCGAGCCTCTGCAAGGTAGGTAGGGGCTTTTATCATCATTGTACAGGTGTGGGGGCTAGGCTCTCAATCGCGACTCTCCCTTATCTGTGTCTCCACTGGGCTGTGAACTCTTAGCAGTGACACTGGCTTTGATCTCTGTCCTCAGCACCGAGCACCCCGCCTGGCACGGGACTCAGGGAATAGAGCTTTTTACTATATCAGTGGTTTTCAAGCTTTGTTTTTAACCCACTTTTTTTTTTAAAAGCGGTCGTAAATGGAACCTCAGTCTAGACAATAAACGTAGAGCTGGGCTGTACCTCCCTTCCATTGCCCTCCCCCAGGGCATTTTAAGGTTTTTCTTTCCATTAGTAAGCACTGCGAGGCCTGCGCACCCATTATGCGTTCATTGTGAACACCATGTACAATATTTTGTTTACCATGTTACAGCCAAACCTGACACTGATGTCACATACCTGCTTATCCTCAGAAGGGAATTGGGACAGTGAGAGTCAGTGTCATTTCAGGGCAAACATCAGATACTCACCAGTCAAGTCCCCCCAGCTCCTCTGTCCCCCAAGCCTGTTCCTCTCCTTATCTTCTCCATCTCAGAATAAGATTCCAGTTACTCACCAATTTTTTTCTAGCCACAAACATAAGGGTCTTCCTTGAGCCAGACCTTTCCTCCACCACTCCGCCCCAGTCCTGACAATGCTTTGTTTAGAATATAGTCCTAGTCTGCTTCTCTACTGCCACCACTGTGGTCCTGTGGTCCTGGTGCCATCATCTCCTGCCTGAGACATCCCAACTGTTGTCCCTTCCTTGCTCCTTTCCAGTACAAGCTTACCTCAGCAGCCTGAGGGATCCACTTATGGTATAAATCACTTCGTGTCACCCTTACATGGACCCTTCTAATAGCGTCTCATCTCATGGAGTAAGATCTGAACTCCCTCTGCTGGCTTCTGAGGCCCGGGCTTTACACACCTCTCCTGCCTCGTGCCCCTGACTGCCAGTACCCCAGCCGCTCGCTGTTTCTGGTGTATAACCAGGCCCATTAGGAGCCTGTTGTAGAAACCTAGGCGAAACATTGGGGCAATCTCAGGGTTTTACATTTTTTACATTAGAAGGTACCATAATTAAAATCCACTTAGGTTCAGCTTTGTTCTGTATTAATGTAGGAATTCTGAAAAACCAAAAATAGTTAAAATCCAACATGGGCAAGATGAGATGAAACTGGTACTTTCAGCAGCAGCATGAACTGCTACGATCTTTCTGCAGGGGAGTTTGGGCACTATGTACTGAAATAATACGACTCTTGAACCAGAAATCCCGCTTCTCGGAATTTAGTCTGAAGAGCTCACTTTAGAGGAGAATAAGTTGCCTGATTGTAAAGTGATGTTACGCGCAGAGTTCTGTATGAGGAAAGATTAGAAACCACGTGCTGACTACCGAAATGGGCCTGGTTAAGTAAAGTGTGGCTCATTCAGTGGAGACATGTCTACTTCGGAGGTGGGAAGATGTTTATGACCCTGAGTGACAAGGGGAAACTGATCCATGGCATGTGGAGTGTCTGTGGGGTTGTCTGTGGATGGCGGGAGTTTTGACTCTGCTTTTCTTTGGCATTTTGAATTTTAAAAAACAGGTGTGTGTCATATTTACAAACAAAACGATGTTTGGGGTTTTTTTAAGAAGTAGGGTACAAACAATCGATCTTAATGGTTTGAGTGGTCCAAAAGAGCATTTTTTTTGTTTGCTTTTTATTTTTTAAAATTGGGGGAGGGGAACAGCGCTGGGGAATCTGGGGAAGGGGAACAGACAAGTTGCTGTCCTTTTGTTCTTCAGTCTATTTGTGGAGGACATTGCTTCACTGGCCCATGTTGGTATTATCATTGCGCTCTTCCCAGGTGAAGCGGATCAGTCGCCGGCTTCTGGACAGCCGCTCACGGCTGCTCTTGGCAGCTCACACTGACTGCCAGCCGCTCACACTGGCTGCTGGCCACTCACAGTAGCTCATGGCAGCCCACTGCAGCCTACGCTGTCGCCGGCAACCCACGGCAGCCCAGATCCAGGTTGAGCTGTTGATCACCATCTTAGCCCTAGAGGGTACAGCGCCACTGGCCCTCATGTGGGATCCGAACCGGGGCCCCACTGCTCAGAGCTGGCGTGCCAAGCCACCTCCCAACCAACGCGCCCCTCTGCCGGCTCCAAAAGAGCAGTTTTTTGCCTTGGTTATATGCTCAGTCTGTAGGAGAGAGGATGGTTTGGAGACATCCCTTTGTATGCTAATCAGCGTGAGTCACGCTCCATCGCAGAGGAATTCAAAGTCACCCTCATTCCCTCGGAAATGGCCCTGTCCAGGGTCAGGTAATCCAGGGAATTTGACTTTGGGTCTTTCATTTTGTGTCCCTCTTGGCTAACCAAAGAGAAGTGGTCCAAATGAGACACGGACTCTCACGGCTCTTCCAGGTTGGGTGTCATGGACCTGGGTGTGTTGGAGAGTCACAGCGGCACCCTGTCAGAATTCCCACGTTATGTACTGGCTGTGGGTCACCAGCCATACAAGGGTCCCCTGTGAAGGGGATGCTTTCTCTGATAGTCTTGAGTTGAATTGCTTTTTTTTTTATTGGGGAATTTGGGGGATGGGAACAGTGCTGGGGAATTGGGGGAAGGGGAACAGACAAGTTGCTGTCATCTTGTTCCTCAGTCTAGTTGTGGAGGACGTTGCTTCACTGGCCCAAGTTGGCACCATCATTGCGCTCTTCCCGGAGTCTTTGTTTCTTCTCAAGTTTTACATTTTCTAACCAGGATGTAAATTGCTTCAGCCTGTAATGGAATCTTCTATTATGTTCTGCATTGGGGTGGGGGAAGGTGCAGGTTAAACTGGTTATCACAACCTTTGCATATGTTATGTAGATTTAAGCTGGAGCCAGGAGTGGATCCCATACAGATGCAAAACCTCTCCAGAGTCACCAGGGCCAGGTATGCCAAGCCAAAGTAAATATTGGGTTGTCAGAAAAGTCATGACTATTTTTATGTTTTCGTTGCAAAAATGCATCATGACTTTTCCTACAGCCCAATAGAACCATTGAACCTGGTCTGCATAGTAAATGTATAATAAACAGAGTCGTTAAGGTTTAGCAGAAAGGAGGCAAAGAAAGAAAAGAAAGCTTTCAAAAAGTCCCAAGCTAAATTACACGTGTTAAAGTATACCAGAGATCCAAATCTCAAAATAGAAGATATATAGTGCCACCATTACAATCCCCGTCTTATCAAGAGGGTTGGTCATTCTCTGCTGATTCTCTGCTCTCTTAAGCGGACGGGTTAATGATAGCTCATTGGACTTCGCTGCTGAAGTCTGTAGGAGAATTCAGTATTTGCCAAATCAACAATGCATTGTTACATATTAATTGCATTTATGGTTTTCCACCTTTTCATCAAAGGACAAGAGGAATTTCCTTCGTGACCCTCCGGCCGGTGTGCAATTTCATTTTGACTTTGATCAGATGTACCCCGTTGCTCTGGTCATGCTCCAAGAGGATGAACTGCTGAGCAGGATGAGATTCGCCCTCGTTCCTAAACTGTAAGTGCTGCATTCTTGAGCCGGAGTGGCGCCGCTCATGAAACGTATATGTGCGTTTTCTAATGGCCTTCGTTATGTGCACAGTATCAGGGAAGAATCTTGGGATAGGGGCCAGAACAGTCTCAGACTCGGCTCTGTGGCCCTTCAGCACCACACACAGGCCCCCAATGCGCGCACACACAGCACCAAAGAATGGAAACCAGGAGTGGACTTGCAGGAATTTCGGAGTAGGGCTGAGATGTGCTCTTTTATTTCTGGTTAGAAGGTAGAACGCGTTTCCCTACAAAAACAAATGTCCAAGTGTCTTCCTGAATGCAGTTAAGGTCTCGAGGCCCATCAGGACAGGCCACTCTGGCTCTAGTCTCCAGCAGCAGAGTTCTTTTTCTCTTTCCCACCTGCTGCTTTTCTTCTGCCCTAAGGCCCTCTCGCTGCTCTGAATCCCTGCCTGTCCTTTGAGTTCCAGAACAAGCCTCCTGTGACAGTTGTCAGCTGTAGGCCCCCTGCCCTTCCCCTCTACTACCACAGGCTCTTCCTCAGCTTTGTTAATTCCAATCCCTTGTTTTGCATTGCATTTTCACAGTCAGCGGTCTTTCTTATTCTGCGAGTGTTCTTTTTTTCTAACCCTCTATTCTTATTATATGGACACAGTGTCTTACTGTTCTCTGAAGACATGAAGTATAGTTTTCTTGCGATAACTCTTTTCTCTCTGCTCTTTTCTCTGAATCTTTGTGTTCACCTTGAGCTGTCTTTCGGGTTATAGGATTTCTTTTTTTTTTTTTTAAGATTTTATTGGGGAATTGGGGGAGGGGAACAGACAAGTTGCTGTCCTTTTGTTCTTCAATCTAGTTGTGGAGGACGTTGGTTCACTGGCCCATGTTGATATTGTGATCATTGCGTTCTTCCCAGGTGAGGCAGATCAGTTGCTGGACGGCGGCTCTTGGCAGCTCACAGCGGCTGCCGGCCACTCACGGTAGCTCACGGCAGCCTCACTGCCGCTTACACCGTTGCCGGCCACTCACGGCAGCCCAGCTCCAGGCCAAGCTGTTGTTCACCATCTTAGCTGTAGAGGGCAGTGTCACTGGCCCTCATGTGGGATCCGAGCCAGGGCCCTGCTGCTGAGAGCTGGCGTCCCAAGCCAGCTCTTAACCAACGAGCCACTCGGCCGGCCCTGTTGTAGGATTTCTTGATCCATCCTTTGGGTGAAGGCGCCATGCTGAAAGGTGCTTGGGGTTGTGTGTTCCCACAGGCCTTCTGGGCCTGGTGCCTTCCCCAAGAGGACTCAGCCTCCTGCCTGGCCGCAGGCAGAATAATGGGGACAGCCTGGCCCCTGTGGCTTCCATACGACGTTACACCCCCATTCTCAGCTGTGCCAGCTGTCCTTGAGTGCGGAGCTGCTTGTCTCATAGTGAACCCTCAGTCTCTGCCCAGTGGGAACAATCCTTGGCCCGAAGGGGCAGCATGGAAATCGAAGCCATCTGATGGCTTCTTTAGGGCCTGTCCACCACTCCTCCTGTCGAGCCCAGACTTGGAACAACAGTTGTATAGAATCTTTTCTTTATTTTTTTTCTTTTTAGTGAAACTTTTCTCTCCATAATTGTTAACATATTGGTGGTGAATTACTATTATCCTTACAAAACCCTGGGAGTTGACTTTTGAAGCGTTCATATGTGTGTATGTATCTGTTTGAAGCTCTTTCATCTCAGACTTTGAGGTTATGCCTGTTGTGAAGGGCTGCCTCTTTCTGAGAGAAGAGCAGCAAAGCTCTCGGCATCAGGTGGGCTGCGCACCTGAAGACCATCGGAATCGCCCTGGGCCGAGCCCTGTGCTCTCTGCCGATGCTCTCAGGACTGGCCAGAGGCCCTGAGGCGCCGGGACACGGCGCTGGGGGTGCTCATGGCAGGCATGTCGTTGTCCGTAGTTTTGGTTTCTGACAATTCTGGACTCCCTCTCACTGCTGACAGTAATTTTAGGTTTCTTTTTTTTTTTTTTTTTGCTGAGCCATCCTGCTACCTGTTGGCAGTTCAGCGGCTGCTCAGCTCAGGCTGGACTCAAACCGCTGTTGCTCAGAGCTCAAACTCTTGAGCGAGCTCTTAACCAACTGAGCCACTCAGCCAGCCCTTAGGTTTCTTTTTAAAGCTTGGGAGAATTACTATTTGGCAAATAGTATTCCCGATTTGTCGCTAAGTAAGCTGCCCATTGAGTCATATAATTCTAGTTTCCTACTGCAAATTCTGTTAGGGATACTTTGGAAATTAGGGTTATAATTTTTTTAAGTCTTAATGTGTTAGAAATGCTTACTGAAGTATTTATGGATGAAAGGTTATGATATCTGGCATTGCCTTAAAATATTCCAACTCCCACCCAAAGAAAAGCGTGAGTGTGGGGGACGAGGTGTAGATGAAACGTGACTGGCGGGGCCGGCCGAGTGGCTCAGTTGGTTAAGAGCTCCCTCAATAGTTTGAGCTCTGAGCAACGGCAGTTTGAGTCCGGCCCGAGCTGAGCTGCCGCTAAGCTGCCAACAGGTGGCAGGATGGCTCAGCTAAAAAAAAAACAATAACAACAAAAAAAACGTGACTGGCAAAATGCTGATAATTATTGAAGTTAGGTCAGGGTACACGGAGGGAGGCTCTTTGGTGTAGTCTCTCCACTGTTGTTGAAATTTCCATAACAAAACAAAACAAAATGGAGCCATCACACAAAAATATAAGACTTCTGGATTTTCCTTCTGACATACAGAAGTGCAACTTTGATCATTTCGACACTTGTTCTTAACAGAAGCCATCATTAACAGGAACAATTTAGAAAAGAAAGCAAACATTTGCTCTGTATTTCAAAATGCCTTTTAGTGTGTTAGCGCTTCCCTATGACGGCAGTGGTGCCAGGAGACAGGGCCCTGCTGGGCGTCACAGGCACCCTCTGACAGCCCTTTCCAGCCTTGGACTGTGACATACGCCCACTGTTTCCCAGAGGCTGTTGCCTTAAAAAAGTTCGTGATAGCACAAGCAGTCAGATAAACGTTGGAGAGTTGCTATGTTTGATGGCTTCTTTCATTATTTTAGGGCTTCTCAGAACCTTGAGTATGTCATCTGCCTTATGATTCTCTCCAGAGGGTAACTGAATATTTCTGCAGTGTGCCTGTGACCACTTCCTCTTACATCAAGAGGGAGACTCTGGAGAAGAAAACAATCCAGATGTTTGTTTTTATGAAGAGAGCAAACATTACCCATGATCCACTGTAGTTAGATAGTACACTATTTCATTTCATAGAGCTCAGAATTAAAAGTGACCTTGAAAATATTCAGGCCGCTCACTACCTCATGGGAAGGCTAATCTCACTTTTGTATAGCTGTGATGTTATGGTTTAAGGCCCTTGAACTTGTCTGGGTAAAAGCCCTAGGTCCTGTATTTGTTCCCCCAGGTGTCTTAGTCTGTGTACCCCCTCACCCTCTGAGTCAATTCCCCTGAAAGTGAGCTCCCCGAAGTGGCTATGCTGTGCTGTCTGATTGCAGAAGAGCACACTGTATTGTATCTTGTGTCATTTTAAATGCAGCCTAAGATTTCACTAGCTCTTCCAGCAGCTGCAGCATACTGATATTTGCTGTGCTAAACTTGTGTTTGGCTGTGACCCTTTACTAACTGCTGTTAAGCCAGCTCTCCCTGCTTCCAAAAGACTTTATGAGGAAAAGAGAGTTGTGAGGCCATATGAGTTTGGGAAATGCTGCTTTGGGCACATGGTAAGAGCTGAACAAGTAAGAGGTCCTTATTCCTGTGACCATCTATGTGGACAGACAACTTGTCATATTCATCCTTTAACCCCCAGTACCTAGCATGGGGCCTGGTGCGTGTGGCACCAGTAAATGGTGGAATTAATGAAAGAAAAGATGGCTGCATCTAGCAGCATGTCCACTTGTTATCTGGCCTAGTTTGTGGAAATAATCTTGCATTTTACCTCTGGCACTTAGAAAGCTAGCTTCCTGGCCCAGCTTCCCCATCACAGATGTGACAACCGTGTGTTCTGATGTCCTATCTGAGGCAAGCCCTGTCCTCGTTCACAAGCCTGGGCCTCAGTGTTTTCTTAGTTCTCACTGATTTTCTTCTATTCCTTCCAAGACTTTCTGTCATGTTTTCTTCCTCGACCCCGCCCCCCCCCAAGAACCTGCCTTTCTTCTAGTAAACCAGGAGGGTAGAGAAACCTTCTCTCCTACTCTTTTGTCATTTCTACTAACAAAGCAGTTTTAGAACATAAAACGAAGGACTCCTCAGGCAAAAAAAAATGCCGTCAATAGCTTGCAGGTCCCCAAAGCAGTTCCTTGGTTGTCTCTCCTTGGTTTGTGTGTATGTGTGTGGTGGGGGTGGGTGCATTCTGTTTTTGCTGAGTCTTCTTTTGTCTCCTACCCTCGATATTTTTATTTAATTGCTCTGAGGTGTGCATAGTCATCAATGTTGTTGTTATTATCATTAATTTGGAACAATAACAAACTTACAGAAAGGTGAGAAGTATAGTCTACAGAACTTTTTTTTCTGGGCCGTTTGGGACCTGATGCCCCCCGACCCCTAATGGCTTTACTGTGTGTTTCCTATAAACAAGGATTCTCCTGCACAGCCGTGATGTAACCATCTGAACCAGGAAACTCGCTTCTGTGCGGTATTACTGTCTAATTCTTAGCCCCTATTCAGGTTTTTCCTTTTGTCCCAATAACATCCTTCTTAGCAAAAGGATCCAGTTCAGACTCACATGTCACATTATCACCCATCTCTCACCTCATTGCCGATTCTTACAGATTGCTAGTTATTTGCAAGCTGCCAAACATTTCCTTTCAGAAGGAACAATGCCCACAATCCTTTCTTCTCACTGCTTGAAAGCACTTAATTGTTCAGTAAACAGCAAATAATTGGTGGAGTCCTGGCTGTGCTTCCAGTCTCCCAGGTTGATCACGCTGCTTTCACAGCAGCAGCCTGTTTGCCTCTGCTGAGGGCAGTGTTGGCATCATTAAAATATCAAGAAACGCTGAGGCTTTATGGGTGTTCTGGAAATTTGCTTTTGCTGCTGTGAAGATAGCTGTCCTTTCTATCCTGTTCCTCAGCTTTCAGTTCGAAAGCAAATGAGACTCTTCTTTGAGCCTCACTTGGATTTGCAAACGCCCCTAAAAATCTTCTATTCCAATCTCCACTGCAACATACAACCACCGCGTGCATTTGTGCACTTGCGTGCTCAGATGTGTTGTTGTTTGTCTTAAAAGCGTGAAGGAAGAAGTGTTTTGGAGGAACTACTTTTACCGAGTCTCCCTGATTAAGCAGTCAGCCCAGCTCACGGCCCTGGCCGCCCAGCAGCAGGCCACCAGAAAAGAGGGAAAGAGCCACGGCGGAGAGGATGCATCGCCACTGACAGGTACATCCAGAGAGCACTGTGGAAAGAGAGCTACTTTAAAACTAGTCTCAGCTTACGGACGCCCATGAGCTTGTCATCTCGTGTACCAGAAATGCCATCATTGGATGGAAAACTCTTTTCTTTCCAGAGGAAATGGTCATGTTTCTCTTGTTGCCCCCCTCTCTGATCCCACCCACATGGCTTCGCCAAGCTCTTCTTTACTTTGCTATCTTTTTCTCATTATTGTTTTTTTATTTCTTCCTTTTATTTCTCCCTCGATTACCAGCCATCTGCACGTCTCTTTCCTTGCCCTTTACCATGTGACTTTTTTTTACCTTCTGTCCTCCACCAAGTGAGTCCACCCCTTTTCTTTCTTCCTCAGTCTTCCATTCAACCTAATGTTTCCCCACTACTGTCATCTAGAGCAGAACTAGGCTCCATTCCACTCCAAGTTACGAATGTCCAACTCGGAGCTAGGCACCATTAACTTATATGTTTGATTCTTTTCTTTTTTTAAAGATTTTTTTTTATTGGGGAACTGGGGGAATGGGAACAGTGCTGGGGAATTGCAGGAAGGGGAACAGACAAGTTGCTGTCATTTGGTTCTTCAGTCTAGCTGTGGAGGACGTTGCTTCACTGGCCCAAGTTGGCACCATCATTGCGCTCTTCCCGGGCGAGGCACATCAGTTGCCGGCTTCTGGACAGCTGCTCACTGCGGCTGCTGGCCACTCACTGCGGCTGCTGCCTACATATGGTAGCCCATGGCAACCCACTCCCACAGGGGCTGCAGCCTACGCTGTCGCCAGCGACTCACGGCAGCCCAGCTCCAGGTTGAGCTGTTGTTCAGCATCTTAGCTGTAGAGGGCAGTGTCACTGGCCCTCATATGTGGGATCCGAACCGGGGCCCTCTGGCGTCCCAAGCCAGTTCTTAACCGTCACGCCACTTGGCAGCCCTGTTTGTCTCTTTCTTATTGTGACAGTTTACCCCTGGTTTTGGGGAAAGTTGTTTTATAATCAACTTTTTATAATCAGCAATTATTTAATATCTGTAAGACTAATTAAAATAAGAAATGTATTCTGTGTCATACTTGTGTACTATTTACAACTGGAGACTTTTCTGCTCATGGAGTTTGAAATAACTATGCAAAACAGTGTGTCCTAAGGCACAGACCACTAATATAATGAAGTTGTTTTGCACAGTAAAATTTTGCATTTTGCATCTAGATATTAACATGAATCCCAAGTGTCTATCATTCATTTTTTAGTATTTCCTTTTACTAATTTTATTGGAAAATGCCATTTTAGCAAATACTGCCTGTGTAACAAAATGGGCTTAAGACAGGGTTCAGTAAAGACTGTACATCTGCTAAGGTTAATAAGATACAAAGGCGGCCCGATCGTTTGTGCTTTCTAGCATTTGTGACAAAAGGAAAACTTGGTAAATAACTTAATTCTCATTACCTAAAAGAAAGAGCAGAACTATTTGTCAATGGGCATCAGATATGATGACATAATAAAAATAGACCCAAAAGAAAGAGCTTGACATGGTTTCACCTGGCTATTTCTTGTACTGACTTAAAAGCTGAAAGCATAACATTTTGAAAGCTCATTTCTGTCAATTCTTTAGTATCATACTTGTGGATATTTTAGTTGTTCTTATTATATGTATTCAGAATTGAATCGAGCAATTATTGACTCTTTTATTCTCACTTCTTAGAGGCAGTCCGGCCCAAAACACCACCTGTTGTAATCAAATCTCATCTTAAAACTCAAGAGGTAATACAGTTTTACTTTATACTTAGTAGTTGATATCTGGAAATGAAGTCATTCTGTGTTAACTACCTGAGATGCCATTTCAAATGACTTATGAATACGGGTCTTATCTGTTCTAAAGAAGCGGGGTACTCGAATAGTTAAGGACCTACAGCTGAGACATGAGGTGATTCCCTGGCATAAATCATTCTAGAAGTGCTCATTAGGAATTGGACAGAATGACTGACGTGATCCAAACTGTGAGTGAACATAATAGCTTCAGGCAGTAACTCGTTTAGTTACCAAGCAACTGTGCAGGTTAGAAGGTGGGAGAGCGGTGATCATTCGACTAGCAGAGGAAGGAAATGAAAATGATGCTGGATTAAATTGTGAGATGACCACAAACGAGCTCTAGCACAAACATGTCGCTGAGAAAACCATTTCCAAAGCTCATCTGTTGCATTTCAGGATGAAGAGGAGATCTCTACCAGCCCAGTTGTTTCTGAGTTTGTCAGTGACGCCTTCGATGCATGTAACTTAAATCAGGAGGATCTGAGGAAGGAAATGGAGCAGCTGGTGCTCGACAAAAAGGAGGAGACTGTACTAGAAGGTACAAAAGAAAACAACCGTTCTATTCCCCAATTCCGAAGTTGATTGTAGAAAATCGTTACTCTGAAGCAGATATACAAAAATATGCTGTCACTTGCGTCAGAATTGCTTCTCGGGCGGCGTTGGTGGTATAGTGGGGAGCATAGCTGCCCTCCAGAATTGTTTCTCTGTCCCCCACTAGAAGGTGGGTTGTAGCACAAATGACCAGCTCTCACGCCCCTCTGCTCTAGGTAAGCACAGAAGGATAGAGAAACTAAGACCCAGAGAGCTTAAGTGGTGCCACCCAGACCTCTCAGTTCTGAGGACACGTGCCCAGGAACTGGGGAGAAAGCAAGCACATCTTTCACATGGAGACACTGCCCTCTGGCGCCCTGCTTTAAAAGCTGGCATCCGCCTTGGGTTTATGCTTGTATCTAGAAGATTCTTTGCCCAGCTGCTTTGTGCCTCAGGAGCATTGCTTCTGGGAAGGAGCATGCTGCCTCTAAACAAAAGAGTTTAGAAAAACAGTTGCTTTCTTTGGCACATCAGGACAAATGGCTGGCTTTCAAATGAAGAGTGTTTCCTGAACCTTCTGAGACTTACAGTTCAGGGAGCCAGCTGTTCGCATAGGTTGTGCAGAGAGCACCGGTGGGAAAACTGTCCAGCTTCCCAGAGGCTAGCCTCTGGGCTGCTCTGGTGAGCTGTTCTTTCTCTGAATTCCTGCCCTAGTTGTAGCTGGGGCCACTTCATATTCTTTTCTATGGTAGCTGTAATTTCCTCAAGGGCATTTGTCCCCCACAGTACCTAACATGGAGCCTGGCACCCAGTAAGCACCTAATAAATATTTCTGAAATTGTTTGGTTGCTATGCAGCACACTATCTTTTCCCTTGAGGTCACTGCTGCAAAAAATTAAAACATTTGGTTTTTGTTTTCCCTATAGCTACTAAGTTTGTTTATTTTTAAAAGATGAAAATGCATTTTAGCTTAACTTTTTAAATAGCCGGTTTGTTTTTTCTTCTCACTATTTGATGGCACTGCATAGCAGATGCCTTATCCTGTACAAACATACAAACATATGCACACACACACAGGTATATTGAGTGTCCAAGCACAAAGTTGCCGCCCTAAATCTCAACATGGAGGACCAGTGCGAGAGAGCTCAGACAGAGCCCAATGTGAGGGGCTAGGCTTCAGCAAGAGACCGCTTGACTTCCAGTCCTGGTGTCTCTTGCCACTTTAGGGACACTACTGCTAAAGTGGTTAAGTACAGACTGTGGCGCTTGCAGACCTGGTTCCATCCGTTTGCCTGTTACTGTCAAGCTGTGTGATCTTGGGCAAATCCCTTAATCTCTGTCAGCCCCCATTTCCCCATTTGTACAATGTGTATAATAGTGGTGTCTAGTACATGAATTGTTCTAAGGATGAAAAAAAAGAGTGATATGTAGAGAGCTGTTAGCGCAGCACCTGGCTCAGTAAGCGCTCAAGAAACGTTAGCTGGGGCTGGCCGAGTGGTGCGTTGGTTAAGAGCTGGCTTGGGACGCCAGAGGGCCCTGGTTTGTATCCCACATATGAGGGCCAGTGACACTGCCCTCTACAGCTAACATGCTGAACAACAGCTCAACCTGGAGCTGGGCTGCCGTGAGTCGCCGGCAACAGCGTAGGCTGCAGCTCCTGTGGCAGTGGGTTGCAATGGGCTACCGTGTGTAGCTTCAGCCAGCGTGAGCGGCCTTCTAGAAGCTGGCGACTTATCTGCCTCGCCCGGGAAGAGCGCAGTGATGTTGCCAACTTGGGCCAGTGAAGCCACGTCCTCCACAACTAGACTGAAGAACAAAACGACAGCAACTTGTCTGTTCCCCTTCCCCCAATTCCCCAGCGCTGTTCCCATACCCCAATTTCCCAATAAAAATCTTAAAAAAAAAAGAAAGCTAAAAGGAAAAAAAAAGAAACATTAGCTGTTAACCACTATCATCATCATTGTTAGTGGTAAAAATTAATTTGCAAGCAAATATTATCAATTACCCATATAAGTTGACGGAAAAGAGAGGCCTAGGTAAAGTGAAATAACACCCCATTTAGTGACGACATCTGATACCTTTGGCTCTATGTTTAACAAATTTATCTTTCTAATCCTATTTCTCAGTCACTGTTAAAATTGGTGCAGTTTCTCTGAGCACACACAGTGAGGAAGCCTGAGACGTTAAAAATTACTGTGGCTCAGACTTACATGGGTAGTTATAGTTGACCAAGTTGTTAAACCCAGCATGATGAATTCAGAGAGAATATTTTCCTTCTCGTTTGTTTCTTGTAGAGGATTCTGCAGATTGGGAAAAAGAACTACAACAAGAACTTCAAGAATACGAAGTGGTGACAGAATCAGAGAAACGCGATGAAAACTGGGATAAGGAAATAGAGAAAATGCTGCAGGAGGAAAATTAGCTGGTTCCCGAAATATAAGAATAATCCTTAACATTCTGTAACTGACATTCAATTCTGTATGGCGACACTCACTGAATCAGAAGGCACAAAAGAGTATATATAACTTTATGAAATTCAAAATTATTCCTTTTTCAACTTGAAACTTGCCTCTTTAAAAAAAAGTATATAGAACAGTTATTGTAATACTCAAAAAGGGATGTTTTATGTAATATTTCTTTAATATAAATCTAGTTAGAGATGTTCTTGTAGTCAGTATGGATATCCTAGCTGCAGAAACATAAGTAAAATCTTAGAGTTCTGTTTTCCGTGAGGTCAAAAATATATTCTTCAGCTGTGGTTTTCTAAACATTTGTACTTCATATTGCATTTTCATTGATAATTATGTTAACGCACTTAATGATTGATAGCTATCAAAATGACCAAATTGTACCAAAGAACTTAAGAGGAAGCACTTTCAGAACTGTTTTCTTGGTAAGTATTTTCTAAAATTCCATCTAGAAGCCAAAACATAAAATAATTATGTCGATTTGAATGGTATAAACATCACACAGTTTTACATTGAGAAAGACTGTGCAAAAATATTTTTCTCTGGGGCCTTTTCTTTCTTTCTTGTTTGTTTGTTCTTAATTATGCCACATTTAATAATACTGTTTTCCTACATTTCACATGGTTTTTGTAGAAAGCAGGGCCTCTCATCCTTTTTGTATTAATGACCATCAGAAGCCTGTTCACCTTAAAGTCTCTTATTGCTTAAGTCATCACCACATGTAAGTGTTTTGGCTTTGCTTGTCGTAATTAAACTGTCAGTCTTGATAAAATTGTGTTCCTCTGAATACAACTTATAGAACTTCATACAGTCCTACTTGTGTTCTGCTAAACTATCAGACCCATGTTCCTAGAAGATGATTATTTTAAAATAACAGGGTGGCTAAACATCCAAGGTGTTTGCTTCCCAAACTCTTCATATTTTTTAAGGAGCCTTTATTTAATAAAGGGGAATAGAATTAAAACAATTTTTTATAAGAAAAATGTACATATTTTTATTCTTGGCCCCATAAAAATTAGTCTGTGGTCCTCTGGGGAAGGTGTAGTCAATGAGAGAAGTGAATGTAGGTCCAAGCGTTCATTACTCTTATGTTTGTAGTTTGGAATACTCGTGTGTAAATCAGCCAGACTGTCTCAGCTAGGATCACTTGAGTCGTAGCAATAAACTCATGTATTCTATGAAACCACTGACCCCCCCTTATCAAGAGATTTCCACTGTGCTGCCACAGTGGCTGATTACTGAGTTTGGGTTCACTCAGAGATGGTGACTGGCAACTTCTGAAGTGATCCTATTAAAGGGAAAGGTTTGGTTTCAAAGAGTTTGCGGGAGGGAAGGAAACAAAATGTTTTTCAGTAGCTAAAAATCCTAGATGTAAGCAGATCAGAACATAAGTGCTTGGCTCTTAGTATATGTACTAAAATTCTTACTGATGAATGTTGAATAAATACAAAATAAAGCTTTCAGAGAAAATTAAAAACCTAAAATGACAATAGAAATATGTTACCATTGTTACTGTCAATTTTACATGATACTCATTGCATTTAAAAATAACCTAATTGTGTATTGCCATGTAAAAATAAAAGGATAAAATAAGACTTTATACACAGCATAAAAATAGTTACACTGTATTTTTACGGATTCATCAAGGAGTAAAATGTTCTGCTTTTGTAAATTTTATAGGTAGCTGAAGTGTTATTCCCTTAGAGGGCAAAATAATTTGTAACCATGTTTGGTGGAAAATGTCTTAAGTATTTATTACATGCTTGGGGCTTAGCCAACAAGATACACGGAGCATAAAAACACATAAGCTTCACAAAATGTTAAAATACAAACACTGCATTACACTAAGGGAATTATACCTCGCTACTCACTGCTGGCTCGGGAACCAGCATGGGCAGCCTGTCCTGGGAGTGTCTTAGACGCTCAGACTTGCTGGCCCAGACTCCACATTACGAAGACCCCCGGGGGGTTAGAATGGACTTTATGGGTTGAGGCGCCCTGGACTAATGCACTCAGGGCAGCCAAGGATTCTGGTGCTTTTTACTTCTTACCCAACCACTGGTGTCCTTGGCTGACAGTGTCTTTCTAGTTACGGGTGCTTCCTCTGCTATCCCAGTCAGTACCCACTGCCCACTCCCCTTTCCACACTGCCAAATTAAGAGGAACCAAGTTCCCAGGGAGGCCACAAATAATCTTGCGAAATCAGATATGTCTAAAACCACACATTTAAGGGGATAATGACAACACTGAAGTGCAGAGATGAGGCTCTCTGAGAACCGTTGTACATGTTTGTGAGCTGCTCAGGTGTCTGGGGGGTGAGGGGGGAGGGGAGTGGAGAGGGGGTGCGACGTGCCCTGAAGGCTGTAAAGGATGGATGGCCCATGTGTGAGGCACGTTTATGCATGTGAAATCAAATAACAAAAATAGTTTAAAAGGTAATAGAGCATCGAACCAAACTAAGTCCTTAAAGCCTGTTTTAGGAACATGGAGTCAATATTATACAAGAAATAACAATATCCGTTTATGGTTAACAGCAGTTTATGACATGTATGTTAAACCCTCAGCTGACATGGCCAGTCTTACCAGGAGGCTGCTATGGTATGGCGGACTCGGTTACAATGGCAGAATCTCCTTATACTCAAAAGTGGGAAATCTTATACAAAGTGGGAAGTCTCCATTTGTAATTTTCAAAACATTAAACTAGAAAAGCTTTTATGCTTGTACTCACAGTGCTTTCAGATGCCCTACTGTAACCAAGACGGTTTTCCTCAATCAAAATATTGTTACAAATAGGATTTTTAGAACATATTAAAGGTTTACCAAAAGAAATTTTATGGTCACATCCAACTTGCAATATTTTATTTGCCTCCTTGACTGCTTTGATACAAAAACCAGGATTCTGAATGTGCTTCTGCAATTTAAATAATTTGATAATAGCTGCTCTTTCTGATAATAGATTTTCCCTCCATTTTTAAGTAAAGATAAACATTTTTCAGCTATGAAAATTAGGTGAATTTAATTTTAGAAAATTTAGTTTTTGGCTTTTAAAAAATTGAAGTGGTAGAAATTTTGATATAGTTAATATAATCAGATTTATTGAGGAGGAAACAGGCCATTTTAATGAATTATTACTTCCACAGACTACATTGATAAGAAAATAAAATTACAAAATGCATGTTGCTGTACCCAAAACTGATGGTGCTTAGAAACTAACGAGTCATGACAGATGACAAAGATACATGAAGCTTTAATCACACACAGCTATATATTTCTCACAAATCATCCAATTATCTGGTCTTCACACAGAGGGATTTGTTTAGCTAGAGCCATTTATGATTTCAGTTGTTAAACTATGACTTTTTACAGCATTCAGTGCATCCTGATTTATTTGTGATATGAAAAACTGTATAACACTTTGTTCTGAATAAATAAACCTCACTTATAGTAGTAAGATACGTTACAATGGTTTTTCCTGAATAAAAATTCTATTCTGGTAAAGAGGGCCGGTAAATATTTCAGTTATCTATATGTAGGCTTCTGTTGTTAGAATTAAAACTGCCTTGAAATAATGTAGTCTTAAGAACATATTTTCATTGCAGACTTCTCAAATGCCGGGGGGTGTCCTTTATAATAAAAGATCGTTCTAACCCACAGTCAATAGGTCTTTGACTCAAGCTTACTGTGGGGTTTTTGCTCTTCTAGCAGTGATGATATTAATATATGTGGATCTATCTTGGTCTTTCCCAATTACCATGATGAGCACTGACTATACTTTTTGCTGGCTAGAGCTAAAACTTTACAAGGTTAACCAGCTCTTATAAGAATTAAGCCTGTTCTCAATAAAGCTGGGGGGGAAATTAAGCCTGTGACCTAATAAGTAGAGGTAATAGGTCAATTCATCATAATGGAGGATTTTGGTTACTACCTAAGTATCCACATTGTAATCATGATAATAGCCATTAACTGCATAATATTTTTCTCTGCTATTACTGCATTTAGACATTGCAAAAATCTAGATACAGCAAAATGGCCAAATCACTCAACAAGTTTAACTCTTTAATGGAGATTACTGCAAGGTATAAATGGAATGTGAGAACTGAGCTAAATCGTATGCCTGTATCAATTGAGTGTGGCACAAGAATACAATATAATGCCACTAGCTAAATTAGTGTAAAGTGTTCTTTGTTAATCGAATTAACAGAATGTATGCTTGTGAAGTTAAGGCACAAAAATAGACACTTCAAAATCTGGACAACACACAAAAGTAATTTCATAACAAGAACATGGAATGGACATCTTACTGTTCATGTTACCATGCTTTTTGAAATGGGCTAAGCCAGTGAATCTTGTGGCGTAGGGCAATGAACTTGCACTTGAGAACCACCTGGGAGCTTTAAAAATGCTGAAACCCAACCACCACCTCCAGAGAGACTAATTGACCCGGAGCGTAGCCCTGAATGTAAGATTTTTTAAATAAACTCCCTGAGTCGTTCTGATAGGCAGCCAAGCACTGGGCCCAGGGGAATAAGGCTTAAGGAAAAAGTCAAATTTGCTTGGGCAAGATACTCCACCAGGGGGCGCTCAACTGCTTCCTTAGAAAAATGAAAGGGTGGGGCTTTCCAGTCAAGATGGTGGGGTGGGTAAATGCTGTGCTTGCCTCCTATCATGACCACATCAAAGCTACAAAACTACAGAATAACCATCATTGAGAATTGCCCGAAGTCTAACTGAACAGAAGTCCTATAACTAAGGATATACAGAAGAAGTCACTATGAGACTGGTAGGAAGAGCAGAGCTGTGGAACAGGCTGGTCCCAAACCTGTGGGGGGTGGTTAAAAATTGGGAGGAATATCTCAGTTGCATAGATGCCCCCTGAGGAGTGAGAGATTCCAGGCCCCCCAGCCCATGTCTCCAATGCTGGGAGAAGAAGTCCCCACAACTTCTGGCTATAAAAACCAGTGGAAACTGTGGCTGAGTGAGACAAGGGTGGCTGCGGTCCCAGGCGCTCCTCTTAAAGGGACCGTGCACGGACTTATTCCCTGATGGGCTCACTTGCTCTGAGCTCCAGTGCTGGAGCAGCAGCTTACGGGGAGTCGGGGACATACGGGAAGGAACTGAACTATCTGGCTTCAAGGCGAGGGCTGAAGGGACAGCTTCCTCCCAGACACAAGTGCTGGCAGAATCTATTATTTCTTTGCTGGGCCCTCCCCTCGCCTGGTGTGCACATGCAGATGCCGCCATATCTGAGTCTTCATCAATGTGGCTAACAGGGATTGCCCCGCCCTGATGATAACTTGAAACCCACCCCACCCAACTTGTGGACCCACCCCAGCCATTTCCAGTGGCTTTTCTGGGAAAAAAACAAAAACAAAAAAACAGCCTGTCTTGACTCATGCTGTGGACTTTCCTAAAATCTCTCAGTTTCACAAAACTCAAACAAGCAGCATCTGCCCTTGGTGTGCCCCATACATCTTGCTGAGCAGCCCCAACCCCGGCACTAGTGGCAGCTGGTCTTGGTTTGCAGCTTAGTCTCTCCTAGGCACCTCCAGCCCAACATGGGCGGCTGCCAACTGCAGATTGCTTTGTGGCTCATGCCAGGTGGCCCTGGCTAGGGCACAGGCTGCAGCTGAACTTGGCCTGCCTTGAGGCCCCTCCCAGGAGGCCCCGGGGCTGGCACACCCAGTGGCAGTCTTTAGACCCAGCCAGAGAACCACCCAATTGCCTTCATTGACAACACACCCAAAGGGCAGACTGGGCAGGCACCAGAGCCCTGCTAACGAGAATCCTGCTCTGTAGGGTCAGCCCCTGCACAATAGCTCCTCCACTGTAGTCATGGCCAGTCCTCACAACCAATGAGTCTGAGGGTCAATACCGCCCACTGGCATGCAAATAGCAACCATGGCTCAACAACAGGAGGGCACACACAACTCACACATGGGACACCCCTGGAGCACCTGGCTCAGGTGACTAGGGAGACTGTGCCACTGGACCCCACAGGACACCTACTACATAAAGCCACTCTACTAAGACCAGGAGACATAGCAGCCCTACCTAATACATAGAAACAAACACAGAGAGGCAACCAAAATGGGGAGACAAAGAAACATGTCCCAAATGAAAGAGCAGAACAAAGCTCCAGAAAAAGAACTAAACAAAATGGAGACAAGCAATCTACCAGATGCAGAGTTCAAAACACTGGTTATAAGGATGCTCAGTGATCTCAGGGAGAATGTCAACAAAAAGATAGGAAACATAAAAATGGAGACAGAAAACAAAAAAGAACAAGTCAGATATGAAGAATACAATAACTGAAATGGAGAATATTTTAGAGGGAATCAACAGTAGATTAAATAAAGCAGAGCATCGAATCAGTGATTTCAAAGATAAGGTAGCAGAAAACACCCAATCAGAACAGCAAAAAGAAAAATAAATCCAAAAAATGAGTATAGTTTTATGGGCCCTGGACAACATCAAGCGTACCAACACTTGAATCATTCAGGTACCAGAGGAGAAGAGAGAGAGCAAGGAGTTGAAAACTTATTTAGAAATAATGATGGAAATCTTCCCTAACCTGGCAGGAGAAATAGCCATACAAGCCCAGGAAGTGCAGAGATTTCTAAACAAGATGAACCCAAAGATGCCTACACCAAGACACATCATAATTAGAATGCCAAAGGTTAAAGACAGAGATAATCTTAAAAACAGCAAGAGAAAAGCAGTTATTATAGTTACCTACAAGGGAGCTCCCATAAGACTGTCAGATGATTTCTCAAGAGAAATTTGCAGGCTAGAAGGAATTGGCAGGAAATATTCAAAAT